CCCCCCAAGGGGGCCTGTGGGGCCAGGCACGCTCCCGAGGGGGGCATGCAGCCCGGGCTCTTGCGATGGCTCCTGCCCAGGAAATGGCTCAGAGAGGCTGGCCCGCCCTGCCCAGTGGCCTCCCCAGTCCGGGGAGGAAGTCACAGTGAGGGGGCGGCCGGCCCGGCCCGGGGAGGGAGCAGGCCAGCCCTGTCCCCACACTCTCCAGCACAGCCCCTGCGGGGGTCTGGGAAAAGCCCTGAGAACTAGTGACTTGCTGCGGCAGGTGGGGGGCGGGCGGAGATGGCCACAGGAAGGGGCATGCCCTGCCCCAGGACAGCCAGCAGGCCAGGGCTGGCGCAGAGCTCCCGGAGTCCCATGAGCCCCGGCTCCTTCTCCCCCGCTGGGGTCTTGACCAGCGAGCTCCTCGGGGCACTGTGCAGGGAAGTGGGGCTCGCCAGCTCTCCCGGAGAAGCCCCACAACATGCAGCCCCCTCCAGGGCGGCAGGAGACAGCAGGCCAAGGCCCTCCTCCTTGGGTTGGGGAGTATGGACACGGTGGAGGGGCCTGCAGGCATCCCAGTCTCGCCGCCAGCCGTGCATGGACTGCTGCGCCCCCGGTCCAGGAGAGCCGCAGCGCCACTGCCTGGAGCAAGGGGGGCGACGGGGGGCTGCCTGGCGGGCGGCCGGCCAGGAGAGGCGTTCAGTGCTGTCTAGGCTGGAAGACCCCCAGGGCCAGGAGACGGATCAGACTGCGCCCCCCGGAGTCACCGGAGGCCTGGGAGGACCCCAGGCCGCTCTCCAAAGCGGTGAGGAAGGAGGGGGGCCTATCAAGGGCCCCTCAGCAGCCCCCCCGCCGGCTCCCGGGCAGGCCAGGAGCAGGAGAAGCTCTTGCTGGAGGGGCTGCCTAAGAAATCGAGGCCTGGCGAGCAGCGCAGCCACGGGACAGGATCCGTTCCGGCCTCCGCGCAGGGACCGTGTGCACGACCCCCTGCACAGGGGGTCCCGGCTGCCTCAGGCCTCTCCTGCTGCAGGAGGACAGCGGGGCAGAAGGGCAGCGCAGCCTGCCTCGTATCGCCCCGGCCGCCACCCCGGGCCTCCCCACTCCACCCCTCAAGGGGGCCCGCGGGCTGGGGCGAGGGCCTCGGCGTGCCTGCACGGGGGCCCTGGATGGCAGCGGCGTTCCGGCCGGCCGGCACTAGGACTCCTCGCCGCCCTCCTCCCTGCCCTGGCGCCCGGCATACAGCGCCGCCAGCTGCCGGAATCGGGGCCCCCAGCTGCCCAGGTAGGAGAAGTCCTGCTCGGAGCTGGTGGAGTGCGAGGCGATGGAGCTGAGGGAGGCCGGCGGGGAGCCGGAGCCCTCGAACGCGTAGGTCTGGAAGGAGTCGTACGGGGGCACGGAGGGGTCCTGGTCTGCCTGCCCCACCTTCCGGCTGATATAGTCCCTGAAGAGGGAGAAGTCCTTGTCGGCGGCCTGGCCCCACCGGGGCAGGGAGTGCCGCTCCGAGGGCAGGCCGGGTGCCACCTCGCCGCCCGCCTTGCCCTCGCTGAAGTCGTAGAGGCTGCGCAAGGCCGACATGTCGTAGGCCTCCGTGTCCTGCTCGCCACCGCCCTCGTCGTTGTACTTGATGACGTTGTCGCGCATGTCCTCGTCCTCCTCGGCGGCCAGGTGGCCCTTGTGGTGGCGCTTCAGCGTCAGGATCAGGAGCACCAGCACTGGGGGCAGGCGGAGAGGCGGCGCGTTGTGGGGAGCAAGGCCCTGGCCCGGCAAGGGGGCCGGCATGCCGCAGGGGGGTCAGCCGGCTCTCCCTCGGGGCGCCCTGGCGGCTGACTGCCCGGGAGCACCACCCTCTGGCTGCTGAAGGCGTGCCAGCCCCACGGACGGAGCCCCCAGCCGGCTGCCCTGCTGCCACCTTTGGGGCGCAGCGCGCGTGGTCTCGGCCACGGGAGGAAGGCCGGGACTGCCCTGGGCACCCTCCACAGTGGGGAGAGCTCCTGGCACACCCCCTCCGCCCCGCAGGGCCAGCAGAGGCCGGCTGGGGCAGGGGATGCGGCTCCCCAGGGGACTCCCTCGGGGCTGGAGCCGGCGAGTCAAGGGCTGGCAAGCCTGGGAGGGCCCTTCCTCCGAGGCCTCTGGCAGGCAGGGTGCGCGGTGTGGGGCGGGAGGAAGGGCTGGAGGGGCGCGGGCGACCTGCCGCCCGACAAGGCTGTGCGGGAGGGCCGGGCCGCCATAAGCCCTGCGAGAGCCACATGTGCCGCCCCTTGCGCCCCCCCCCCCCCGCCGCCAGAGGCCAAGGCAGGCTGCTGTCCCCGCCAGCCCAGCCCCCACCCCTCCGGATGGCACCCCGGGGCTGCAGGCGCTGGGCAGGGGGCGCGGGCCGGGGGCGGGCGAGCGGGACTCACCCACGAGGATGAGGACGCAGACCAGCAGGGCGATGAGCGCGCCCGGGCTGAGCGAGGCGGCCGCGGCGAAGGCGGTGCTGTTGCAGGAGCGGACGGCCCCGGCGCTGTCGCAGCCGCAGACGCGGATGGTGAGGGTGCCGGTGCTGCTGAGGGCGGGCGGCCCGCTCTCCACCACCAGGATGGGCAGCAGGAACGTGTCCTGCTCCCGCCGGTTGAACCCCGAGCGCTGGGCGAGCACGGCGGCCGTGTTGTCTGCAGGGGAGAGCGGAAGGCCCCGAGCCCCCTCAGCGCAGCCCCCACCGGGTCTCCCCCTCCCCCCGGCAGCCGCACGCCCCAGCCGGCACCAGCACACCAGCCCGGCCCAGGGTGCCACAGGGCCCCCACGGCTCGCCAGGGCGGCCTCCCTGGGCAGCGAAGGCGCCGAAGTGGCCAGGGGGCTGTGGCGCAGGTCGCCCCCCGTCCTCCCCGCACGGGTGATCCCCTGCTCCCCTGTCCCAGCTGAAGCAGCGATGTCAGGAGGGGCCCCGATGGGGAGTGGCAGTCGCTTCCCTGGGAGCCCTTCCCGGGGTGTGCGAAGCGGCCGCTGGCCAGAACGCTGAGACTGCAGGTCCCCGGTGCGTGGCCGCCCCAGACCAGGCAGAGAAGAGGAGACAGGCCCAGAGGCCGTGGGCTCTGGTCCCCACACTGCCTGCACGTTGGGCTGGCCGGAGCTCCCTGTGGCTGGGCCGGCCGGCCTTGGCATCCCCACCCCTCGGCCGACACATCTCTCCATCCACATGCACATCGAGGAGCGTCACCCCCTCCCCCCCCCCCAGCCTGGAGCCCCAGAAGCCCCCGCCCCCCCCCCCCCCCCGCCACCCGCCAACAAGACCTTCAAAGAGCCGCAGCAGCTGCTCCTCTCGCCCGGAGCACGCGAGTCGGGAGCCTTCCTCTGTCATTGCCAATTAGCCAAGATTCCCTTTGTGCGCTTCCGACGCGAGGCAGCCACCCGGGGAGGGGACCTGGGGACACCGCCTCCTGCAGTGGCTGCTTCTGGGGGCTGGGTGGAATCTGGGACTGGCGAGAATGGGGGGAGCCCCCGAACCCCCCACCCGGAGCCCCGCTCTCCAGGAGGGGTCTGGTGGCTGTCAGGCTCCTCAGGAGGCAGGGAGCCTCATCTGGCCTGGGAGCACGTGCTGGAGAAGGAGGGCGGTGTGGCGGGAAGGCCACTTTGGGGCAGCGCTGGAGGCTGCCTCGTGGTCCCCGGACGGCCTCCCGCCTCGTGCCCCCCATGCTGCCACCATGCCGGGTGGGCGAGAGGTTCAGGGCAGAGCCAGGAAGCGCGTCTGCATGCCGGGCCGAGTGGGGTGTGGGCAGCCAACCAGGCAGCTCCAGGGCTGAGCGCCATGGCAGGCGGGCGAGTGCCCGTCCCAGGAGAGGCTCGCCTCACCTTGTCCCGGCCCCCTCGCCCGGCCCTGAGCAGAGTTCCGGGCTCTGCGCTGCCCCTGCCCCTGCAGGCCACTCGGGGGCTTCTGAGCGCTCCCGGGGCACCCCCTGCCTACGCGGCCCTCGGACACTGCTGAGGCTCCGGGAAGGGGGGAGACTCCGCACGGACAGCGGCTCCGCTGGCTGGTGCCGCTCACAGCCCTGCGCCTGCAAAATGAGGCAGGGCTTTCCAGCTGGTAGGAGTGGTGGGTCTGCCTAAGGTGCCGGCCTCCCAGGGTGGGCTCCCCCCTGCTCACGGGGTGCGGCACTGCCTTCCCGAGGGCGCTGCCTTCCGCCGAGCCAGGCCAGCGGCCACCTGGGCCGGGGCCAAGACGCAGCTCCACAAACCTTGGCCTGTGCGGACAACACCCTTCTGGCTGGGGGGCCCTCCTGAAGCGGAGCTGGTGTCCTGCCCTGGAGCTGGAGGCCAAGGTGCAGGGGGCCGGGATCGCCAGTGGGCTTGGGCCAGTTGCTCGGAGGGCCAGGGGAGATGCCGCGGCTGGGGCGGGGGAAGCAACGCCATGGACGAGCCAGGCCTGCCCGGCAGGCAGCCGCAGGCGCCTGGGGGTAACGGACCTCCCCGCCACGCCGGCCAGCCCCGTGCCCGAGGGGAAAGGGGAGGGACCGGGGCGGGCTCCGCATGGGCACGGCTGGCGTGGCTTGCCCGGCCTCCTAGGCCCACGTGCTTCCGGACAGAGAGCCACTCAGCAGCAGATGCGGCGAGGAAGAGGCACCCGAGCCACAGGCGGGAGCAGTGCCGAAATCCCCCTGCCGACCGGCCACCGGTCGTTCACATGCAGTCCCTGCAGAGGCAAAGAGGCGCCTCTGCTCGCAGGAGCCTCTCCCGCGGCTGCCTTCCCGCCCGACTGCCGCTCGCACGGTTTTGCCTTCCGCCGGGAGCTGCCCGCGGAGCCGGGCCGAGGGGCAGCACGGAAATGCCTGCATGAACGCACGGGGTGTGCAGAGGAGCCCGAGTGGGCCAGCGGCGCTCAGCATGCCCCTCGTGCCGCAGAGCCTGCACCCCCTGGCTCCCCGCCCACGGAGAGCACGGCAAGGAGCACCGTGCCAGGTCGCCCAGAGCGACCGCCGCTCAGGATGTCAGGATGCGGCCGGGAGCGCGCCGTGTGGCTCCATCTGGGCTGGCATCCATCAGCGTCTCGTCTTGGCTCCAGCAGCAATATTTATAAATCACATCTCGAAACCGGCTACAAATTTGTACAAAGAAGCAGATGGGCTGCTGGCAGCGGCTCCCCGCCACTGCTCCTTCCACGGTGCCCAAGGGGGAGCGCCATGGGGAGCTGGGGGGGCGGAGGGGGTCGGGGAAGGGGCCTGTCGCCCACCGGCTGGGCCCGGGCACTCTTTCAGTGACTGACATTTCGCGGGCCCACATCTGTGTGCTTTGCTCCATTCTAGCTGTTCGGGCGTGCTGCCGGCGTGCCACTTTTGGCAGGGAACGAAATAGAACGAATCACAGCGGAGCCGCGCTGCTCGCTTGCGACGGCGGAGGGAAAGCGCGCGGGGCAGCAGGGGGGGCCGCGAGGCGGACAGGGCCGCGTGGTGCCCGGTGCGGGCCCTACCCTCAATGTCCAGCAGAGAGAAGTGCCGGCTGCCGGGGGCCTCCGGGGCCAGCGTGAAGGAGAAGCGGTGGCCGCCGCGGGGCTCGTCGCGGTCCACCACGCTGACGGTCTGGATCAGCTGCGGGAAGAGGGGCAGCTGCTCAGGCGGCCCCGGCAGGCTCCTCGGCCGGCCGCCCGCCCGCCACGCGGGGGAAGCACGTTTCACGGGCTCCACAGCCAGGCAGCCCCTCGCCCCCAGAGGGCCCTGCCCCCTCCCGCCCCCAGGGGGCCCGGGCCCCTGCTGCAGGGCACTATTCTGCTCTGCCAGCAGTCTGGGAACTCGCTTGGGAGGGAAACGGGCCAGCCATGAGCCAACCTCAGCCAGGCGCGCCGTACGAGCAGTACACTCGGGGCTCCGGAGGCCTCCTGGGTGCAGCGGGCAGGAGAAGGGCCCGGGCGGGGCGGGGTGGGGCTGCTGCCCTCCACAGGGCAGCCCGCGCTGGGTCTCCAGCCGACCCCCGCCCTCCAGCAGCCCCTCCCCGCTGGCCGCGTCCCTGCAGCGGCCCCCGGAGCAGAGCCCCCCCTCCAGCACGCATCCTGCCGGGGCAGGGCTCCTCTCAGGTGCTCCGGCCTGCCCATACCTGGCCTGGCCTGGCGTCCTCGCACACCGCAGCCTCGTACGGAGTGGCGAGCTCCGGCGGGTTGTCGTTCACATCCAGGATGCGGATCCGGAGAGGCATCTTGGACACGTGCGCCTGGTTGTCTGGAACAGAAATGGGCCACACGCGTCCCCCAAAGCTCAGCGGACCAGGATTTAGGGTGGAGGCCAGGAAGTACTTCCTGATGGTCAGGACCCCGAGGGTGTGGAACGGGCTTCCACGGGAGGGGTTGAGGCCCGCCGGTGCGGGTGCTCAAGGACAGGCTGGACGTGCACATGGTGGGCATGTCATGAACGGAGCTGGCTGCAGCCTGGGGTCAGACTAGATGGCCCGGAGGCCCCTTCCGAGTCGCTCTGCTCCCGTTTCTATCCCCCCGCAGGAGGCCACAGTGAGGCCTGTGGCAGACATGGCGGCGCACGAGCCCAGGGAGTGGGCCAGGGAGGCTGGCAGCATGGGGGAGAGGGAGGGCCCGGCATGGCCCACTGGGACCCGGCCACAGGCAGGCGCAGCCCACGTGGCCAGCCCCGCACGCAGAGCGCGGAGCAGCATGCCACGCCAGCCGCCACGTGCAGCTTCGCCACGGAGTCTCTCCGAGCCGGTCCCACACCCTGCCGCGTGTGCGCCTGGCGCGTGTGCAGGCTCGAGACCACAGCGCTGCCGAGGGGCCGCGAGGACCCCCCCCCCGAGGTCGGCTCCCGGCGATGCTGCCCTGCCGGGATGGCTCACCTCAGCCAGGGCTGGCCAGAGCCCCAGACGAGCGGCCGAGAGCCAGGCTCCCTCTGCCAGAGAGAAGCGGGGAGGGGAGAGCGCCCCCCCCAGCTCTGCCCGGTCCTGGGCCATCCGCAGTGGGCCACAGACCAGTCGGGAAGGGCAGCGAGGCCTCGGGCCTCCAGGCGAGCGTTCCGCTGCGCCTCGGGTGTGCAGTGCAGGGAGGCCCCTGGGTGACCCCCCCAGCTGCGGGATCCGTGCCCCGGGAGGCTTCGGCTCCCCGTTTCCAGGATGCCCGGGATCGCCCCCCTCTCAGCGGCGCACGAGTGCCCTCGCTTGGCTCGGAGGGCAACCGCAGCGTGCCAGGGAAGCCGTTCCCTCCGCAGGCGGACGTGAGTGAGGCCCGGGCCACCTCTGCCCCGGCAGGGCCTTCCTGGCCCCCAAGGGGGAGGGAGCCTTGCCCCCGTCCGCCAACTGGGCGCGGCGCTCCTGCCCCACCGATCAAGGCGCCCGAGGCCCCCAGGAGGGCCTTGTGGTCAACCACGCAGCTGGCCTGCTCCACGGCTGGCCAGGAGAGGCGGCATCCCGAGGGGGCAGGCGCTGGCCACCCGGGTGCGGCGTGCGCAGGAGCCAGGCCAGGCCGGGGGCAGGGGCGGCCGGGCAGCGCCAGCTCTGAGGCCAGGCGGGCCGCCTCCAGCTGCTGCACATGGCGTCTCCCCCGGCAAACGTTTCTCGGGGAGGGTGGGTGCAGCTGCATGATCGGCTTGGCCTGCCCAGCCCCCGCCAGGGAGGCCCCCCATCCCTCCAGGTGCCCCAGGCAGCTTCCGACAAAGGCTGCTGCCCTGGCGAGGCTCCGGGCGCCAGCCGCATGCCGGCTCCCTGATGCCACCGCAGCGGCCCGGCCCCGAGCTCAGCCTGGCGCAGCTGCTGCTTTGCTGATAAGCGAGCGCGAGGGCCGACGGCACCTGGCAGGCGCTGCCGGGAGCCGGGGCAAAGCAAAGCGCGGCCGACCCCGCCGGGCACTCGCCGGGCCCCCCGCCAGCCCTGCCCCCCCATCTGGCATTCTGCTGATTAGAGGGGCGGGGGTCAGTGCCGGGGTGCGGTGGCGTGACTGCAGGCCCATGGCAGCCCATCGAGGGCCTGGCGCCTGCGCCACGGAAGCCGCAGCAGACGCTTTTCCAGAAGACTCTGCCGGGGGGGGGGGGGGGGGGGGGGGGGGGGGGGGCGCGGGGCGGGGGGGGACCCCGGGGGGGGGGCGGCCCCGCCCCGGGGGGGGCCCGGGCGCGCCAGTTCGGGGGGGGGGGGGGGGGGGGGGGGGGGGGAATGCCTGGAAGGTGGAACGCTGCAGGTGCAGAGACACTGTGGGGGCCTGCCCCGGCTCTGGGGGGCAGCAGCCGAGTCCGAGGGCCCCGTCGGCCGGCTCCCACTGCCCCCACCCCAGCTCCTAGCCTGCCTGGGCTCAGAGGCCTCAAAAGGTGCCGCGGGGCCAGGACAAGGGGCGCCTTTTTGGGGGTCCCTGCCGGCTCTGCCCCCTCCCTGGCTCTGGGCCTGGAAAAGAGAGGGAGGGGCTGGAGGGGCCCCTGCAAATGTAATATGAGCAGGCCAGCTAGAAATCAGAAATCCCGAATGCCTCTGCTGCCCGTATTTCTCCCTGGTTGCAGACCGAGCCGGATCAGACGGGCTGCATGCTCGGAACGCCGCAGCTCCTGGCCTCAGGGGAGCGGCCACAGAGGCCCAGGGCCAGCCCGGGGGCAGCCAGGCTTGCTACAGCCTGCAGCAGGCGCGGAGGCCAGCAGGTGTGCCTCGTGGGGCAGGAAGCCCCTCCAGAGCACTCTGCCTGGGACCCCCCTGCTGACAGGGCGCGAGGAGGCGGCTGCTCAGGGCTGCGTCGCCCCGCCCTCCGGGGCCGGCACGGCTGGGTGCTCTGCACCACGTGGGCCTCGCTCTGGGAACGTCTGCCCCTGTGACAGACAGACCCCAGCAAGGCCCTGCCCCCACCCTGCTTTCCACCCAGGGGCCGCAATCCCCTGGGAAGGGAGCCCGGGGCAATGCCAGCTTGGAACACGACGGCAGGGAGACAGCGGGATCCCCTGGGACCGGGGAGCTGCAGCTGGCATGCGACACGCAGGCCCCGTCACCTCATCCGTCCCGTTCATTCCCCCTGTGCGACGGTGAGCAAAGGGGCAGCGTGTGGAGGCCGGCAAGGGCCAGGGCTCGGCAGAACCGGGCTGCTGGGGGTTAGCGGCTGTGGATCAGGCACCCCGGAGCCCCGGGGACCGGCGGCCTCTCGCAGGCCCCGCATGCAGGCCTCTCCGGGGCCTTCGGCCGGCCCGTGTGCATGAAGCAGAGGCGAGGCCGGGGCTCAACGGACCCCGTCGGCTGTCTCCCACGAACACCCCAGCCACTGCTGCACCCCAGGCTGGAGACTTCTCACCAAACTTGCTTCCCTTCAAGCCGTTCAACCCAAAACCTCAAGGAAACAGGCAGGGGAGCCAAAAGAATGCAAGAGCCGGGGGCAGGGGTCAGACTAGATGGCCTGGGAGGTCCCTTCTGACTCACTGTTTCCTATGTTTTTTCTATCTTTTCTGTGTTTCTATATTTTCTATATTCTGCAGCCGACTTAGGGAAGATCCAAAGTGAATGGTTCCCCCTTCCTCCACCGCACTCTCCCCTCTCCCCTGGCCAGGAGCCCATCGGCCCTGCTTGGCAGGGCAACAAGAGCACGGGAGGCTCAGACGAGGGGTGACCCGAGGAAGCCCGTCTTCGCACTTCGTCCCAGCCGCTGCGCCACTGCCTTGGAAAGGCTTTCCCAGAGATCAGACGACTGTGGAGGACGGGCCTGTCAGCAGCCGCTAGTCAGAGAAGCAAGACCGGAGGCTCCGGGGGTCTCCCAAGAGCCATGCTGGGGGCCACAGCAGGCACGGCCCCCACCCCCAAAGCTTTGCCAGGCTGGCTTGCCCCCGTGGGGAGGCAGCGGCGGCACCAGGCGGATCAGTAGTGCGGCCCAGCTGGGCACTCGTGGCTTTTCTGAGCGAGCCCCTGGAGCAGCTCCGGGGCGACGCCGACTGTCGGGGCCATTCTGCCTCGGCCTCCGCCACAGACCGCCTCGCCTCGGTGGGGGTGCCATGCCCTGGAGACGGCCGAGGAAGAGCGGCCCAACGTCCCGGCTGCCTTGGACCCCTCGCAGAACCGTGCACCCGTCTGGCACCTCCGCGGCTCCCCTGCCTGCTCCTGGGCCAGCCGCTGCTGCCGGATTCCACCTGCCTGGCCAGGCCACCTGAAGGGCTGAGCCGCCCCGAGAGCCAAGATCCGCTCCAGAGGCTCCACTCGGAATCACGGAATAGCAGCCTTGGAAGGGGCCAGGAAGGCCACCGGCTCCACCCGCTGCTGAGGCAGGACGCCAAGTCACCCCATCCCTCGCATGCCTTTCTGAATGCCACTGGTGTGGGAGAGCCCCCCACCTCTGTAGGAAGCTCGTCAGACCCGCGGGCAGGGCAGGCAGGGCCACTAGTGGCAACGGACCCGAAAGGGCAGAGCAGGAACCCCTGGCATGAGCCGAGGCCTCCCGGGACAGCCGCCCTGCCCTCCCGTCAAGCTCCGCGGAAGCAGAAGGCTCCTTCTGCCGAGACTTCCTGGACCTCTCGGGCCGGCTCCCTTGTCCCGGGTTACTCCCCACAGCAACTCCATGGCTAGGCGCCGCTCTCGGCCCTGCCCCCGCTGAAGCACGGCATCGGGGCTCCTGCTGCTGGTGCTGTGTGCCAGCGCCCCATCATCCACGGCAACAGGTGGGGCCTGCGGATATGACGTCATCAGAGAGGGATCGAGAGCCGGCAAGCTGGGTGGGCAGCACAGTGGGAGGGGATCCTTCACCCCCACCATCAGCCCCCCCCCCAGCTTGGCTGACTGACATGCAAATTAGTTTAATTATTTCTTCTTCTAAAATAAATTATATTTTGCAGTGGCTGCAATATGTTGTGTCAGGCAAAATTACATTCAATATTTTTAAACTAATTGATGTCAGCCTTGAGAAAACGTGATTGACAGCAGCGAGGAAACGAGGCTTCTACCTAAATGGTTTCCTAAATTAAAATTAAACATGCCGTTTTTCTGCATTTCCTCCAGGAGCTGGAACGCCATTAATCTGAGAGCACCATCGGGAGGGGCAGGGGGCCGGTGTCGAAGGCGGGCGGAGCGGCCCGGAGGGCTCCCGGCTGCGCTCGGCACCTGCTGGCCTCACCCAGGAAGATCCGCTGCGGCTGCGGCTCCGGCTCCGCTCCAGCCGAGGGATTTCCGAGCGAGCGGCAGGAACAGCCCGCAGCCAAGGATGCGCCCTGCCAGGAAGCTGCTCCTCCAGACTCTGAAGGAGGGCAGGCCTCCCCCCCCCCCGCTTTCGAGG